GAGCAGACCTTCAAGGCTCTGAAAGACCGAGTCGAAGCCGCGTTTGAGAAGCTCAAGGAATTGGCACCGCCGACTAGTGAGGAGGATGAAGGGGCGGAGAACGACCAGATCAAGAAGCCCGACGCTGCGACGGCGCAGAAGCTGAAGGACATTGAGACGGAGCTCGACAAGATCACGACCGAAATCTCGGAGCTGAAGAAGTACAGCAACATCAACTACACTGGTTTCCTCAAGATCGTCAAGAAACATGACCGCAAGAGGGGCGATAGATACAAGGTGCGACCGATGATGCAGCTGAGCCTGGCGAAACGGCCCTTCAACTCGGAGCAAGGCTACTCGCCCTTGCTCAACAAGCTGTCCATCATGTACTATGCTATTCGGCAGCAGCTGGACGACGGCGCCGGCGATGCGCAGCCACTGGATCTTGAGAGCCAAGGAGAGACGCGGCACGGCGAGCGGTACACCGCCCACAAGTTCTGGGTCCACCCGGATAACCTACTGGAGGTCAAGACGTATATTATGAGACGTCTTCCGGCCCTTGTCTACAGCGAGCAGTCTGCTAAGGAGCTGGATGGAAGCAATGACCCGACCATCACGTCGCTTTATTTTGATAACTCAAAGTTCGATTTGTACGGGAAGAAGGTGGAGCGCAAGGCGGAAGCGTCCTCGCTCCGCGTACGTTGGTATGGCCAATTGAGTGCGAAGCCTGAGTTGTTCCTCGAACAGAAGATTGTTGGAGAACAAGGATCCAGCGAGGAGCGAAAGTTTCCCATTAAGGACAAGTATATCAAGCCCTTCATCGACGGCACCTACAAGATGGAGAAGACGGTGGAGAAGATGGAGCGTCAGGGCCAGCAGGCGGAGGTGGTTGAGAATTTCAAGAGCACCGTCGAGTCTCTTCAGGGTTTCATGCAAGAGAACAAGCTACAGCCCGTCTTGCGCGCAAACTATGTTCGCACCGCTTTCCAGAAGCCCGCGGACGACCGCGTGCGTATCTCCATCGACACAGAGGTAGCCTTCATCCGGGAGGACACGCTGGACAGAGATAGGCCGTGCCGCGACCCAGCAGAATGGCACCGTCTCGATATTGACGGTCGAAACCTGACGTACCCGTTCAAGGATATCAACCAAAGCGAGGTCTCCCGTTTCCCCTACGCCATTCTGGAGATCAAGCTGAAAGAGGACCCCAACCGTAAGCGCCCTGCGTGGATCACGGACCTGATGGCATCCCACCTGGTGCACCCCACGCCTCGCTTCTCCAAGTTTGTCCACGGCATTGCCTCCTTGTTTGAGGACTTTGTCAACAACCTGCCCTTCTGGTTGAGCGATCTGGAGGCGGACATCCGCAAGGACCCGCAGGTGGCTTTCGAGGCCGAGGAGCAGCGCAAGGCGCAGAGAGCCGAGGACGAGCAGGCCGTCGGCAGCTTTTTGGGCAATAAGGTGAGCTCGTATAAGATATCCAAGAGTTCGCCGGCCGGCCAGTCGTACCTCGCCAACAGAATGGCCGCCGAGAGCTCGCGCTCCCAGTCGAGACCCGTCAACGACGAGTCACAGCAGTCGTCGAGCCGCCAGAACGGCGAGGGCTCCAACGGCCAGCAGAGGAGCTACGGCACGCTTTCGTCCGTGCTCCCCGGCTTCTCTCTGTCCAAGTACTCGCAGGCGCGGAGGGCGCAAAAGAACCAGCAGCAGCTGCCCGAGGGCGTCGTGGAGCCGACCGAGTGGATCAAGAACTCGGGCGAGCTCAAGATTGAGCCCAAGGTGTGGCTGGCCAACGAGCGCACGTTCCTCAAGTGGCAGCACATCTGCATCCTGCTCGGCGCGCTCGCAGTGTCGCTCTACACGGCCGCCGGGGAGAACTTCCTGGCCGAGGTCATGGGCATCGTGTACATCTGCATCGCCGTGTTTGCCGGCGTCTGGGGTTATGGCATGATGAGGCTGCGGAGGAAGATGATTATTGGCCGCAGCGGCAAGGATTTCGATAACCTTGTCGGACCGTTGATTATCAGCATCGCGTTGATGGCTGCGCTGGTGATCAACTTTGTGCTTGCCGTAAGTTTCCCCTTCCGTTTGAACTTTTACAAACGTGATTCATGAGTGAAGATACTAAAAGTGGTTTTCTAGTACCGCTCCGCTATCGAGAGGATGGAGGCGGGCAAGGGGGTGCTCAACGGCGGTAATGCCACTGGAGAGCCCATCCGACAAGAGCTCATCTGAGGGGATGAGGGGTTTGTGAAGTAAAGTGTGGGGACAAAAGCGTTGATTGATGGAGCATCTCATGAGATGCTCACTGTTTTCTTTGTAAGCTGTAGTTTGTTTGCGTTTGCATGGTTTGGTTGGTGTGCTGCATTTGGATCGGTGCTCTTTCCTTTTTACTTGGTATTGGTTATGATACCTGTCGATGTTAAGGTAGAAGAAGCGGTGTTGTATGAGATAAATATGGTGTGATAATCAATATTCTGTGTGTATGGTTGTGCCTTTTATGACTGTAGCATATTGTGAGGTGTGATGAGTTGGAGGGAAGAGAGAAGAGACGCTGAGTGCCTTCTTAATGTTGGGATGTCGTATAGGCTTCGTGTTAGCTTGTGCTTAGAAAGCCTTCCGTTTCGTGTAAGTGCAAGTGAGAGATTTGAAGGCTGCGCTTCCAGTTGTGGTGTCACGTGGACGCTGCCTTGACTATGCCAGCCAGCTAGCTACTTAGACCTCTTGGTGTGTGACATCAGATATCAGAAAGGAGACTGTTTTGCCGGGCTGTGGAACGTCTCCAATGGTGCCTATGAGAGCCAGAGGCGGAGTGACAACGCTTCTAAGTCCTACCGAGGTTCTCCTGTCATGAAAGCGATTTCGATACATACCGAGTGCGCATCTTCGTCTCGACACCGCAGTTGGAAGATCTCAGAGTCATAGTCGAAGACTCATGTGATTCCTTGTCGTGTCTGATGATGGCTATGGTAAACCAATAGATCCGCCGGCTTCTTAGCAACGGAGTACTAGTATTTAATCCTACATAGCTCGGGTCTTTCGATATCTTCCCCTCTACAGGTTCGATTTTGGCGGTCGGGGTATCAATAGAGACTAATCTCGAGCTGAAATGACACACAGCTCCTTGGTGGGATCCTGCGCGGGGTTTAATGAGTCGTAGCCTTTCGCCGTGCCAGGGAAAGACAGCAAATGGTACACCCACCGTCAGCTTCCAGTTGGCCATGGAAGCTTCTCAGGGGGGCGGAATACTTGTGGAACGGAGAGGAGGGGTGATGTGCAGGATGAGGTTTATGTTGAGATTTTCCATCTATCAATAAGGGTTCGTACATGATCTTGGGGCTCCGGTACAGCTACAACGAAGAAAAAGGCCAAAACCTCGAGATTAAGGTCTCTGAACTGCGAAATGATCTACAGAAGTTATACAATATCCATGCTCTTCGGACCTCAATGCCCTCGCGGCTTTTTTTATTATGTTAAAGAAGTGTTCGTGGTAAGAAGGATAGTCCCCTCTGGTGCCTCTCTGCTTATTGAAGCCGTTCTTTTTCACTTGTCTCGACGCACCTATCTACCTACACCTCATCCCAAACGCCGCCTCCGTTTAGCACCGACTCCACCCAAACGACCTCATTTCCCTCAATTACCGATACCATGCCCTTCCAGCTTCTTCAGCGAGGGTAGATCTATTGGTTAGACAGGCGAAGGTGTGAAGTCGATATTTATTGACGGAAGAGGTCGCTGAGGCATATGTTGTGCTTGTGGCGTGGGCATAGGGGGAACTGATGCTCGCCCCATATTATCCTGCTCTATACCTCGCCCCGTCCACACTTGGTCCCAAATATCTTCAATTATACTGTCTTGACTCATCGGAGCAGCACCCTGCCTCGAATTGTCATCTGTGAGGTTCACAAAGCGAGATCTTGTGGTAGCGAAAATGTCGTCGCTCAGTGTGACTTGAAAATGAGGATCCTGATTAGAAGGCATATTGCGAGGCATGCCTGGTTGATTGGGCACCACCATGTCCGCCGGCATGCCATTCTGCTGTAATTGCGGCGGTTCCTGTCGTCGTTGCAGTTGCAAGTCCAGGAATTCTTTTCGCAGTTGCAAGTCCGAGTATTCTTCTTGCAGTTGTTGCTGCTGTTGTCGTTGCAGTTGCAAGTCCAAGTATCCCTTTTGCAGTTGCAGTTGCTGTTGCTGTTGCAATTGCTGTTGCAGTTGCTGTTGCCGACGCCGTTGCTGTCGCTGTTGCTGTCCCGGTCGTTGTCGCTGTTGCTGTCCCGATCGCTGTCGCCGCCCCTGTCGCTGTTGCCAGTTTGAGTGTTGCCGCATAGCGCGCTGCACCTGTCGACTGATCTGAATTCCCAACTGCGGCTTAGACAGAAACCTTTCCTCCGTTTCAGTCAGTTGCGTCGCCTGGGGCGCCTGCTGGGCTCCAACGTGTGTTGGTGCATACGCCGGGGAAGGCGCGAACGCTTCTGAGCTTTTGTAGTCCGATGTTTCTGGAGGACTCTGCTGGGAAACTGTGGTTCGTATAGGAGCTTGATTGCTTGCACCATACTGTGATTCTTGGCGACCCTGCTTGGCATTTGCTAACGACGTCGCAGGCGCTTGACTCCCCTGGCCCAGTCTCTGAGGAATCTGCCGAGGAATCGATGGTAGTGGGGGTGAGGGATGGCATCTTCTCTGGTGGTCATTCAATTGTCTTTGAGAGGTAAACCCAACATCGTTGTAGAAGCAGTCTTGTGTGAAGCATCGTAGTTTCTCTTGATGTCTCGCTGAGTGATCCTTCAGCTGTAATGTTGAGGAGTATCCGACCACAGCTTTATCGCATCCATAGATGGAACACACAAATGCGGTCGGGCCATATTCTTCTTTGAATGCGATGAAATCCTGAGCTGAAAGCCCTGAACAATTTGTCCCTGTCAAGAGGTCCACAACATACGTGTGGTACCTTGTTCTGACAGATGAGAATAATGTGGCATCTCTTGGGGAGGGCACAGTCTCTGCGCAACAACAGTCAAGAGTCAGCAAATCTGCGTTGTGTCACAGATGAGTGGACAGCTATTTGTAAACGTACCAACAGAATCCTTCGTTGCTTTTCGAAGTGCAAGGGCGCCCTGGACTAGTGCTCTTGCTGAGGGGAGGCTTTCGAGCCAATGTAAACGAGGATCAAGGCTTTCCGCATTGGAGATTCGCGTGGCCTCTTCTCCCACCAGGCCGATCCAACTTCTAGCAAGCGCCATGAGTTGTCCTTGTATTCTCAAAGAATCGGGTGTGCAAAACCCTTGACTGAGCTCGAGGTACTCCAGTAGGTGCTCAATCCAGTGTTCATGAGCGTAGGGAAGAAGTCCGTAGAAACCCTGTGCAACACAGTAAAGATGCTGCAGGCGTTCCATGGTTTCGTCGGCCAGAGCCAAGCTCTGTGTCAACTGCGCAATACAGGCAGTTGTGATATCTCGGCAAGAATCTACCTTGTTGATGAACGGTCCACTGGATTGGGCTTGGAGAAATCTCGCACGAGACGTCAACCAATCTGAGGGTGTGGGAGCAGGTTACTTGGGACACTTACTTGGGTACTGTGGCGTGGATGAACACCATGGTTGCACCTGGGCCATCCTCTATGAACGGTTTGCAAAGATCCAATACGTTCGAAAACGGTTTCGTTTTCTCGTTGATTATGGTCGAATCGGCATGGAGAATTCGACCCAGTCGTAATTCAAATCTCCTCATAGGCTGGCCGCCCTTCGAAAACACCATCCAGCCAAATATTCGTCGTAACTTCGACACATCTGTTGCCTGACAGCGGCTTATGATGCTGGTGAGAGTCTTGTAATATCTGGGTAAAATCAGCCATGATACGAAGAATCGGAGAGGTTATAGAAAATACGCTTGTTCAAGGTCTTTCGGGAAGGCCTCGACACTCGATCTCAGCTCTTGGATACTGTCCGTCGTCTCCAACACCTGTAATACTAGGTGGACCCATAGAAACATTCCTGCGCTGCCGTCAATTTTTCCTATCTTTTTTTCGTGCTTAGGGGGAATTCTCATGCCTTCTGCTCTTTTGAGGATTGTTTCTCGAATATCAGTGAACACCGATTGTGGAACGTGACCGTCTAGCCCCTCACGGATAGTCTCCAGGCGGTTTGAGACAATCAAGCCAATATCCTTACAAACAGACGCAGACTGTTTCCCAACTATCAATGTTGGCCTGCCCTTCAAGTTCCTCGCTATGCTCGGGATATCTTGGCTAGATATGAGCAATCTGAAGTTTTCCTGCGTCTCTGCCAGCTTTGTCAGGGTTTTGATCAATTCTCCATGCTCCGATGACACAATCTCATCAATTCCATCGATGATCAGGCGCAAGTCGTCGAAGAAGTTGAAAAGTTTTGGAATAAGTTCTTTCAGAAATGATGTTGAAGGTGATTTCCCAGAAACGACACACTCTTTGTACATGAACGATGCCGTCTCCGGAATAATGTCCAGAATCTGGGCACATATGCTCCGTAAGACCTGTACGGTTACCCCATAGCCTGTGCTATGATAATCACAGAAGAAGAATAAGCACTTCCATGTGGGATTTGATCTGAGGAAGTAGATGAGTTGCGAACATAGGATGGATTTGCCTTGGAAGATCAGTCGGTATAAATGAATTAAGCCGGACGCAGCTTACCAGAACCAGGCTTTCCATGAAGCCACAAAACCGGCTTTCCTCTGCCTTTTTGTAGCCAAGATCGGACCTGGGGTGATCCAGTCACCCATTGAGATGTTCCATCGAGACAACGTTTGTGAAGGCGCTCAAGCTTTTCCTCGTTTCTGTCGCTCACTTGAAGCCACTTGTTGACAGCTTCGCGCTGGTAGATCTCTTCTTTATTTTCTTGATCTTGCGCATTCTCCAGAGCTTTTTGCCGCCATTCTCTAGCTTGTACTATCTCATAGGAAGCTGCCTCCCTGTCTATGAGCTCGCCGGTTGTGACGATGCTCTCAATTAATGAATCAAACCGATGCTGAAATCGACCCCAACAGGTTGAGAAGAGCATTGCCCACCCTAGAAACCTATCAGCATTGAATTGCAAAAGTGGCTCTTTTCTTGAGGACAACTTACCCGGCTTTTGTACCAGCCGGTATGCATGGCAGTGGAAGTCAATGATGTCCTCGTATATGTGTCCCAGTAGTTGCTGGAAGTCGTGGCTGTCTGGGAACGCATTGCCGTATCGAGAGAAACGCGGAAGCGAGGTCCCGATTCGGCTATAAGCAGCGAGGATCTTATCTAGTGCATGAGTGTGGTCCTGGGATATCTAAGCGAATCGGCATTTTTAGCATTACAATACCTTAATCAAGCGGTAGATACAAGTCAACTCACTTGAAGGATGAGCTTGAGGGGCGCCTAGATGGGTGATAGTGATGATCAGATTGTCGATCTTGGAAGCTTTTCTTTGGTGGAGGAGCTCACCCATATGTAAGGCAGGAACGGAACGCCATTAGAGAGGACATCGATGGGCTTCGTCAAACGATCAGCTGCGTCGAGAAAAGGTACGAGCCGTTCGAAGTTTCGTAACTTTTGACGCGAGGCGAGATAGCGCTCCATCTGACTGATAGCCTTGCGAACATCTTCGACACTCTTGACGTTTTCCAATCGCCGCGTCTCTTCGTCCGACAAGTGTGACCGGAAGCGCTCACACGCTCTTTGGAGCTGCAGAAGAGCCATGTTGGATTATCCAAACCGTTTGCGTCAAGAGTTCCGGTGTGCTGTTGTGCTAGAAATCGGGCACGTTTGCGCACTTATATATTGCTGGAGGATACCTGAGACTGTAATCGCGAATGCTTTGCATAGCCACGGTTTTCCTGAGTTTGAGTGGCGCAATACAGCCACCAATTTTGGCATAGATTAGGTGCCAATGGGTCGACACCAACCACTCCAATGTGGAGCGGCGTTACATGCACTGCCCAGCGTGTTATTACACGAGGCTGAAGTGCCCCTGTCCTATGCGAAGCGGTAAGGCAACGGTGAGGCGGAGCCTGCCTGCGATGTTCAATGACCAGTGGTGCTGTTACCCCATAAGAGCCATCCACCCTGATGCTGCCTATCAGTTGCGAGTCTGACGCTTCGAGGCACACGGCATCCGGTCACTATCACTGGAAAGTTCTGGGAGAGGCGCGTCGCACAATTCGTTCTCTAAACCTCCTCGATGGCGTCAGATCCTCATCATGGCATAAAGCGGCGGCGGGCAGACGGAAACTCGGTAGCATTCGGGTCAGTTTCCGTTACATACCAATGTTTTGCCTCAGGAGATGAGAGTCAAAGGACCAGGAAGAAGCCATTAGTGTTTTTCAATGATTTTTCTGTTGAAGCATATCCGCAGGTCATCTCTGAAAGGCTTGCTTGCGAATTCGAGGGTTCTCAGATGCCTAAGTTTGAGGACCAAATCATCTGTTTTGGAATGGTATGTCTGTTGAAGCTTATTCAAAGCCTAGATTCTCCAAGACTAATCAGGAAAGCTCACATCATTGAACGCACAATGGATGACCGACATTGAGCGGACCCGAGTAACGAAGGTTCATCTAATCCTAGACAATGAATGGCAACTGGTGTCTTCAACACACCCAGATTTCCGCGCAGCTTTGGATCCACGCGGTCGTGAGTGGCTCGAGTTATTTCACCGCGAAGGCATCAGCATCGACATTCTCGGGCTACCACCTGGGCAAGAGGTTGTCGACGATGATAGCATACAACTTTGGATAACATTATACGGACCACGGGAAATAGCCCAGGTAGTCGGGAGTACGCTGCAAGAAGCCGAGCTTTACCTACAGGATCCAGCTTTCTCTCTAACAGATGTCGAATACTTCAATCCGCAACGCTTTACTAATGCGGAGGGAAGTCGAACTGCCGACTTTCGAACTGTTCTTTCAAACGAGGACGAAGTCTCAGCTGGCATGGATGAGACGCTGGTGGCCATAGACGTGTTAAAGAGCGTCACTTCAACAACTGTGCGACATGAGACGAGCGGTTCATATTACCTTCAGACAGAGCTGCAAAGGTGAGAACAAATACGTCTCAGCCGTTGAATAGAGCAATGCTCAAATCAACTGAAACAAGTCACCAGAAGCAAGGCTTGACGTTTATGCTTGAACGAGAATGTGGTTGGCGGCTACATGAACCTAATGGGGATGTGTGGTCTCAACACGTCGACGAGTTTGGGAGAACAACGTGAGAATACTCTCCATCACTCACTGGCATTAAGCTGACTGTCCAGTTACATCAATAATGTCAACTCGTCGTTTCGTTGCACACCCCCTGCTCCTTTCAAAGGCGGAATTCTTGCCGATTTCATGGGTCTCGGCAAGACACTCAGTATGATATCACTTATTGCCCATGATAAGCTCTGGGAGAGTGGATCACAGTCCTCGATACAAGAACCGAACCCGCTAGGTTCTGGTGGTACACTTATTGTAGTGCCTCTCTCACGTATGTCTTTAATCATGTGGGGTCCTGCTTGAACAGAAATAACTGATGTACGCTCCAGTTCTCGATAACTGGGAAAAGGAATTGAGCAAGTACGTGAACTTGCAGACCAATTTCTCGGTGTTTGTGATTGAGTAACAAATTTTCTAGACACCTTCGTGGGGATCACTTCAACTGGCGTCGTCATCACGCGAAAACCCAAATGCAAGATGTGTGCCACCTCAGCACAAGTGACATTGTCCTCACGACGTACACGACACTTGCAAAGGAGTGGAAAATTCATGTGCAAACCAACACGAGTCCAATTTTCTCACATGAATGGCATCGAATCATTTTGGATGAAGGTGTGTACCCTCAGTTATTGTGGTCAACCTGCAGACTGACATGAACCTATCAACACAGGACATGAGATCAAGGACCTCAGGACAGCAAAAGCTCAAGCCATCTGTGAGCTGAGAGGTGACTGCAAGTGGGTGGTCACCGGAACACCAATTCAGAACCGACTTTCTGAGCTCCACAGCCTATTTCATTTTCTTGGGTTGCATCCGTATGATGACAAGAAAGCCTTTGACAGGGACATAACAAACCCCTGGCTTCGCGGGGAAGAGACTGGACCAGAGGCGTTGAAGAAAATTCTCAGCTACGTGATGTTGAGACGTTCGCAAGACACGATAACCTTACCAGAACGACGAGATCACCGGCGGCATCTTCATCTCAGCCCTCAGGAGCAACGTATGTATGACGCCGTCAAAATCAAAACCATTGAGTTTATCGACAACGCACTAGCATCTCCTGGAGGTAAAGATAGTTACAGTAATGCGTTGGAGAAAATCAATGCTCTGAGGCTTGTCTGCGAGCTGGGATGCTTCCAAAGGCTCAACCTTCAACGGAAGCCTGCCTCTTATGCGGGGCTCCTGCCAGGAACACCAGATCGACAATCAATTCCACTTACACCCGGAAGAGAAATAGAGGAGGACGGAGATGTCCATAATGGAACCGTTGCCGTAGCGATCGACAATTTCTGTCCGCCTTTACCTATGCTTGGGTCTGACTTGACCCAAGAACCAAGCGGCATGCTCTGTGGTTCCACGCCGACAGATGAATGGCCGACCAAGATCAAAGCTCTTGTCAGCGATATCAAATGCTGCGTTCCGGGAACAAAAAGGTAGCATTGAGGCCTTCCTTGACCTAGATCACGTAGCTAACGGGGCCCAGTATTGTATTTTCGTACCGAACATCTATCCTTGATGTCGCCGAACTAGCTCTCAACGACACCGGAATCTGCTGCGCCAAGATAGATGGCAAGAAAAGCTCAAGCAAGAGAAGTCGTATCATTGACGAATTCTCAAAGGCGGACGGGCCGTCCATACTTTTGTTGTCCTTAGGTTGCGGCGCTGTCGGGTATGTCCAGCCCATTCACTAGCGCTAAGTTGTGTCACTATCACGCAAGATGTCATGAACTCTGATGTCTTCTAAATAGGTTGACGCTCACTGCTGCTTCGAGAGCCTATCTGCTTGAACCACAATGGAACCCGTCTATTGAGGAGCAGGCACTGGCGAGGATACACAGAATAGGGCAGACTCAAGAGATCACAACCATTCGATTTGTGATAAGCAATTCGATAGAGCAGGTAAGCAACGTTGCATGCTAGTGAAGAAGATTACTGACAGCCATTGTCATAGTATGTCTTGGATATCCAGAACGGGAAGCGTGATCTCATGAGTCTCCTGAGCTCAAAGCCTGCGACAAGTCAACAATTGACAGCCAAATTACAGGTAAATCCAACGCTACCTTTCTATGCACAATGTGCCATCTAACGGATTTCAAAGCAATTGCGTCAGCTTCTTAGATAGGCAATATCCCAGAGATGGAGAAAGGACATCATGGCTTCCTAGGAAGGGCATCCACGCTTGTCACCAATGGCTCAACTCTAGGCTGATAATCTGAGTAGTACGAACCGGGATAGATGCTGAAGTAGATGCAGAAAAGAAACAAATCATGATGCAACCAGAACAGCTCATCATTACAGGCAGTGCCTTGGTTTGAAGGAGACGACTTCTCTCTCAGATGGCGTAATCCCCTCAAACACTTCTAACTATGAGAGACAAAGAAAAAGGAAAAAAGAAACAGGGGAGGGAGAGGGGATACTGACCTTATAATTCACGCCCCTATTCGGATTCGAACAGCGCGCCCCTCGGACCAGCACGGCTTCATCGGAGTATTTCATAAAACACGACTCTGCGTCAGAGTCGAAACCACCCGGCCATTTGGCCTGGTGGGTGCTGGTGACAGGAACTGTGATTAGACTCCTTAAGTAGCTCGGTACGTCACCTGGACAACCATTACTGGGGAAGGAGGGAAGTAGAGGTGGAAGGTGCGCCTTCCTAACGGGGCAGGGGGCGGAGGCTTTGGGATGGGAGGCACTCGCTTGGCCGCACCTGGGAGGTATACGGTTCTAAGCAAGATGCCTAATCCCCAAGGTAAGGTAGATGGCTTCCCCTTGGCGTCGAGTGATTCATCTGGTGACGTGAAGTAGACGTGCTACACTTGGAAAGACGGGAGTCAACGAGATCTAGCCCACACGAAGCTTGGAGATGGCGTCGACGTTGGCATGCCTGACCCCTCTTGACATCTGCACTTGCTAATTTGACAGTCTTGTCTTACTTTACCAGTTTCGCCAAGTGGGAAGAACCGATGATCACAATAACATTACAAGCACTGTCAAGCCGACAGTGTTCTGAGTAAACACTAGTTGACCCATGGAAATGACAGAGTCGAGGAATGAAAGTGAACCGAGGTCTATAAAACCAGTGAGTCTTGTGACGTGACAATTATAGCTGCCGATATTTCTGTTTCTTGTCTGGCAATCCATATGTCTAGCAGACTATGGTAGTCAATCAAGTCTTTGGGATTGATCATTTCTATTTTATTTCAGCACACCAAAGCTTGTATTCCCAAGCTACTTGTTTGGATGAGCCTTGTCTCTAACCTACCATGTAGAAGCAGACGACCTGGTGGGTAGGGATGATGAAGACATGGCCACGTAAATTAAATACATAACTTGGAGGCCCTCAGAATCGTCAGGAAGGTACCTCAGAATTTGAAAGGCTAGAAGACCCGTCAGAGGCAAGACGAACGACGTATATGGCGACCCGCGTGCCTCTGACCCGCTCCTTCCAGGCCTCCGCCTTCCTGCCTCCCGTCACTTGCCAGAGGTCATGTGCCGATCCCCACTCCTTCCTATGTTCGCGATATCAGATGAATAAACAATGGAATACACACAAGAAGAAACCAATATAGAACCCCTCGATCCCATTCCTGTCACCAGCCAGCAGGCGCCCCCTTGGGGGTCAGGTCAAAACTGGCTGGGTGGTGGAGTGGTTGAAGTCCACGAACAGCCTAATCGGTGAAGGCTCAGAGGTCCCGAGTTCGAGTCGACTAAAAATCCCAGCATGTGCACCAAGAGATGTAGCCCCCGTTCGCCACCGGGGGGGTGAACTCTTTTGCTTTTTTTTTGGTTTGTCCTTGTTGTCTGAACCTAGACAATACAAGTCGACGAATCGACAAGTAGTAATAGAGAGAGCCACTCGTGCTCTTCGCGGTGACGAGGAGACTCCTCGTCACATGACTTACTTCGATAGATATACTACTGGCTAGCTATCAATTGCTGCAAAACACTTCCCGGTTGACGGGCTACGGAGAAGAATGCTGCTGGTGCCGCAAAAGCATTAGCCAGGCAATATTTCTCTATTTTAGTCTCTAGACGCCATTCGGTCCTTCAGACGCTTCGGCTAAAGATATAAAGGCCACACTACGAATGATAACACGAGAAAGGCGTGGGCGCAATTACGGTACTACTAAAGCAGGAATGTACTGCTATTGGACACCATAGCCTTTACATACTGGCCCCGAAGAGTACATAACCATGTACCCAGGGGCTCAGGCGGGGTTCTTCACTACTCCAAACTACCGCCTCCAGCCGTGATCTTTTTCTGGGCGCATTCAGTCGATATCGACTGGTATGATATGCTATGGCCCAGTGCATGAACGCGATAGCAGGTGATCACTAGGTGGGTCCGGAGCGGAACAGACTCCGGAAGAGCTTACGGCATACGCAAAGGGAAATGGCATCGCCGGCAATAGTCCGTGAGTTCAGAAGATGGGCACCAGAATTCACGAATTTGGCATGTCGAGGTGTAGCTTTCTGATCATTGAAGAAAGTTCAGGGTCCAAGAGTCTGCCCAGTGCTTAGGTTGAACTCTGTAGATAACCTCTGGCTCGTAGTTCAGTGCGCCAGGAAGGTTGGACTGATCTTAGTCCAACAGCGTGTTTCGAATGGAGGATTTCCGTGTCTCCGTGGCTATCTTCGTGGTCCGTTGGGGCGCTGGACTTGGACGTGAGCCATGAGTTGTAAGCAGATGCTGCTTATCAGACTGCTTGCCTTCTCCACCGCCAGGCCGGAGCTACTTAACCGGAGTTCGGAGTGCCGAGGACTTACTATATCGGGGACATGAGAGGGTTGAGCAAGATATGCCGCGGCGGGCGAGAGCGTCGAGATGCAGCGACCATCATGTGGACAGGTAACTTGGAGGTCTATACAAGGCCTTTAATATGGAATCAGAAAGACGGCTTCCAGAATACCAGAGACCCCGGACCCGGCTGTCACACCATCTAGACGACAGGTCGAAACACAAGATCCAGAGTTACACCAGGAAGATCCTTTAGATTGAGGAACATGTCAGACCACTGGTCTACAGACGAGAACGGCGGGGAGTAACATCGTCGGTTCGTTAGACCACGTCAGATTCACAGCGCGTATAGCAGCCGGCATGTTAATGTTGGAGAAGCCGCGGGGAGTGAAAGGCGACCAGTCAATGACGTAAAAGAGAGTTCTCTGCTCTGCTGCGGCAGAGGGCGCAGGGCGGTCATGACAAAGCGAACGGGTGGATGCCGGAAGTGTCGGACATTGGTTTCTGGAGGCGGCAGCGTCGAGGTCCGGTGGGCGGCCATCCGACTCTGCTGGAGTCTGGTTCGGAGCCGGGTATCACGACATAAAGTAAAGACTTTCGAAGAAGAGTTGACTCTGGGCAAATGTTTCGCTCACTAGACGAAGGCGGCGGACCCTGAGAACGGTTCTGTTGGGACAAAAGGCCTGGGTCGTTCGAGACAGGAGCCAGTTCCGGTACAGAGACGTAACAGGTTGATTGGGCGGCTGGGCAACAAGCATCTCGAGGGGTCGCGATCTCGATCGAGGAGTGGTCCAACGGGCGTCGAACTCTTGTTACGGCATCGGATGGTAAAAGCGGTCGTTGACGTGCATGGACGAGGGCGGTAAAAGATGGGTTCGTGGGCTCTAGTGCCGGCGGTGGAGGTGAATAAGTGGTTTGTTGTTGGCGGTAATAGTTGGATAAAGCTAGGATTGGGGTTCCTTGGATTCGGGATCCGGATAGGGCGTCCAGTTTGTTCGATAGGTGTCGTGTACTGCCTACCTAATAGACTACGGATAGTAAGAAGCAGTTGCTGGAAACTTGGGAACAAGCACACCCAAAAAACGAGGCAAACGAGGGACGAAGAAGCTCGGACAGACGCATGGCCCTGGAGTTGGTGCTAGGCGAGTCAGATTGCGTGGAGAGAGCGGGATGACATACGACGTGGCAGGTTTGGATTTCTTGCTTGCCGGCAAGGGAGACTGGGTTTCCCTTTCCTCGACGTCAAACGTGCAGGCTCATTCGCTGTTGAGTTGTCGGGCATCTGCGACGGCTTGGCCTATCACGACGAACCTCGTTTGCGGTTGCGTGGTTGACTTTTCCCACAGCCACCTGATCTTGGTTGTAAAAGTAATAAGGCAGTCAGGTATTGACTGACTGGAACCCTAACCCTAACCCTAACCCTAACCCTAACCCTAACCCTAACCCTAACCCTAACCCTAACCCTAACCCTAACCGCTATAAGCCTACGGGGCGGGCCCTGGTCTTGGTTATATATATTAGGTCGTAATACGCCGCTACCTATGCCCCCGCTACTACTCGTACTAATTAGCTTCTACTACGCCCGCGCACGGGCTATACGAATACGCTTAATTAGCTTTAGCCGCCCCGCAACCTTCGGCCGCGCTACGTATTAAGCTAAGGTATAGGTTAAATAGATTAGTATAAGAATCTAATTTTATTCTCTAGCGCCTAGTATTATCTTTCTAAGTAGAGTTATATTAAAGTTAATACCTTCCTTACGGATCCTTATTAGACCAATGAAAAGTGATAAAGGGCGGACGAACTGCGTATATTTAATCGCTTTCTAGTATTAATGAATTAATATTTCGAATTTGGCCCTTTAGTGTCCCGCAATGACGATCCACGGCTTCTACCCAAAGCTAACGTAGTTACAAGACCATAGAGAGGCGTCGTCTTCGTACTAGCTAGTACCGGAGTACTTTGCACCGATATGGGTGTATAACGAGTTCCTACTAGCAATGGCTTCCATGGATGTAAGTGCATCCCCAGGCTGCAGGAACGACTCGATATTAGTTATTAGTAGCGCCCCGGTATAGTACGGTATGGATATTTTGGGGGATGGGGGGGTTGGGCTACGCCGTCGAGGAGAGCTATGGCCTCGTTATTTAATGGCATCTCTAGCATCTCGAAGAAGTCCGGCAAAGTAAGCTTTATCGACAGCGATAGCTTGATCTTTGAGTAAGAATAATGAATGCAGCAAACCCTTTTGAAGAAACATGACGGATAAAACTTACTACCTATACGTTCAACTTCGTTATACTGTTGATGTTAAGCTTATTAATGGTCAATGTGTCTGGATTTTGTTAATATGCCGCCTACTTACCCCTGGCCTTTTCCAACCTATAAGCTAAGGTAAGATGATCTTGGGTGAGCGCGGTTATTTCGTGTGCAAGGAATTGGATTACGGGAATAACGTCACTATGTATGAAGAATGATGTGATCAAGAGCCAAATCTGATGGCTTTATACACGCAGAATAGTTCATACACTACGTGGTATGGTTTTATCAAGTATTAAAGCCAAAAAATTATATTGAACTTCGGAGGCACAGTCCTCACGCCTAGTGCAGTCCACGAAAACAGAGACTATGTAGACAAATTTATCAGTCCTGAATGGCTTAGCAAGGGCGCAATAAATCATGTGTTCATATGTGCATGTCATCTTGTGTGGCAAGCAGTAGGTCTCACGCTTTTCCTCTTCCTAGATGTGTACGACATGCTGCGGAAACTCCTGAAGACAACGAACATGAAATAAAGCAACATGGTCAGTAAGAGCATCATCATCGAAAGTGGCGACTTGATAGCACGTCCAGAACCACATGAGCTTAGAAAACACTATTCGCCAGCTTCTCCAGATTCTCTACGATCGTAGGGAAACAGTCTACCACCCTGATATCGCCCATCTTCCCAGCCAAACAGCCAACAACAACATTTCGGAATGTTTCCCCAGCGAAGAAAGCCAATCTTTGGTCAGCATGTTTCAGGAGTCTTGTCTGGGCCGTTGTTGTGGGCTTGTCCTCCATCTCTGGCGCTACCAAAGCTCCCTTATCAATCTGATCAGCGCGAGACCAAAGCCCAATCTCGAGTAAGACAACACCAAGAGCTAGGCACACAGCCGATTAGCACTCATCAGTACCCCCGCAAATTTTACTTACCATAGACATCATGAATCTTTCCGAACCGTTTCGTAGGCTGACCCCATCTCTCTGGATGCCGGTAAATGTTTCGTTTCAGTTCTGATTCGCCAAACTGGTCGGAAAAGTCGGAGTCTTGCCGTGAGTATTCAAACCCAATCAGTTTTGCGCCCTCGAGTATTGTGGACATCCCAGCGTGTTCGGGAAATAGTAGAATATTCTCTGAGCGGATAGACTTGTGGACCCAAGAGTACGTGTGAAGCCTCTGTACGCAGGCTGCCAAACTGTGTGCTAGGCGCAATCTGGCGGAGAGGGATGGCCGCCCTGCTTTAGATCGTTCGTCGAGAAGGTTTGAAAGAGTAAGCGGCGGTTTTGATGGATTAGTAGGCTTTGGGAGCTTAAATAAGAGACCGAACCTCTGGCCTGGCGTATCTTCAAAGTAGTGCGTACATGGCAAGACTGCCAACGCTGGGTCGCTCGACGGAGCATCATGCAGTAGGGCGGCCAACTGAATTACGCGTTCTCGAATAACGACCGCACTCACAGCACTGCCCGAGTCTGGTGTGTAACCCTTCGACTCTACCAGGTAGCACCCATCCGAGCCTTTGAGATTTCCGAGCTCAAAGTTGGGCAATTTGGCCATGATGGACAAGTCGTTCAAAAGTGCTTCTTTGGCGTATGATCCAGGGGAGATGTCTGCTGGTGGGGTGATGACCAGCTTCCGCAGTTCAATTCCTCGCAAAAGCCCTATAGATCCTGCATCGACATCTTTTTCCAGTTTCTGAAGCCTCTCTAATGTCTCAAAGAAAGTCGATGGCCACCACGCTGCCTCAAGTAAGTTCTGTATTCTTTCGGTCCAAGCCTCGAACTCAGATACAAGCTTCTCGGTACTGTTTTTGTCGAAGGCTACCCAGAGCATTTTCTTTGCCCATCCCACAGATTTTTGCTGGGCAATGGCCGACTCCTTTTTTGACGATGAAAGACTCTTGACGCGGTCCTCTTCCGACATGGATGCCAAGTCGCCAAGTTCGAGGCTCTCAGCTCGGTCCTGCACTTTGTACTGTCCTCTCACCGCAGCATATTCCATCAAGAGTCCATAGAGCTCTCTTAGCAGCCCCAGGATATCATCGCAAACCGTCTTGGGCAGATGCTCGATTAAGCAACCGGGCATGGCCGGCGCGAACTTGCTGTCTTCAAAGAGAACTCGTTCCATAGAGCCTAGTCGGGTTCGCTGAATCGAAAATCGCAGCCGGAGGCGGTCAGCATCCTTCCCGAAGTTGCTGTAGTTGGTCAGGGTGTTGTCTATCGTGGAACATATAGGTTTGATCAGTGCGACAGCACCGAGCACTAGTCCAGCGGCCTCCATGATGCGGGGAAATCGATTTTCGTGCGGGCTAAATAAGATGATTAGAATGGTAAGAGGAAACAATTGAGGTGTTAAATAACCCGTCGAGAGGGTAGCTCATTCAGAGACCCGGGCCAATTTCGCGGCTTTTAAGTGGCTCAGTTGTGACGCTATTCCTACTCTGTCAAGATTTTCCTGCAAGTCAGGCTGCAACGCGTCAGGTGGTGCAAGTCCTTCTAGATTGGGGTGCGGCTGAATACGAAGTGTACCAAGTCAGACCATCGGAATGCGCGGGAATGGTGCACTGGGAAAGATAGACTACCTATAAAAGCCACATCCTATCCCCCCATTTCTAGGCCTGGTGACAACCGTCCAACTAAGTCCACCTCTTATGACGAATAACAAAGTCGAACCGAGATGAGCTTGATATGGGACATCCGCACTGTTCTTGCCTCTGAGGCACTTTCGACAGTCAATCAATCCGATCCCGAGTCAGCGACGACAACCAGAACAGCAGCCGAGCTCGAGCCGATAGATGTGTGGAATTACCTAGTCAGTCTAAGTGAAGACGAGACAATCAGAAACTCGGAATCGTCGGACGACCACGTCAAACTCACACACTTCAAAGATGCCGACTTTGATCACAGTTGGGATGCCCGCCCGGTTCATCTCGGCGACGGCGCGTCTTATTCTGTTGATAAAGTCACTCTAAGCATCAAAAGAGATGACGGAAATCCTATCATTGTTGCGGTTAAAAAGATCAACTTGTTTGGCAATTCTGAATCCCGAAGTGATTGGAGTGCCGCTACGAGACATCGCTCTGTCGCGACGGTGTTGAAGGAGCTCCGCATTCTCGCGATTCCATCCATCGAGGAGCATTTAAATATTGTCTCTTTGTTGGGATTTAGATCAGAGTATTCGTCGACATCCCCTCAGAACAGCACCAATGTCTCTTTAGTCATGGAATATGGCTCACACGGAACTCTTCGGGACTTTTGCAAATGCCACTCAGATGATGAAACCTTCGATCTAGTAGCTAAGGCTCGATTCATGCATGACATTGCCAGCGGGCTAGCTAAGTTGCACAGTTGCGGCATTGCCCATGGAGATATCAAGTTGGAGAACACGCTTGTATTCGACGGGAACAAAGGACAGCTCATAGCAAAGCTTTCTGACTTTGGGCATTCGATTCTCGATCTCTACGATTCTGAAGAACCGCAGGGAGTTTATCTTGGAACACCGCTTATGAATGCTCCTGAGGTGAGAACTAGACGTTATGCTCCCCATCATGCACAGGACTTCTTCAAATGCGACATATTCTCGTTCGGCTTGTTGATATGGGAGCTTCTGCTAGATGGAAAACATTACTTCACTACCCTGCAAGGCGCTGAGGATGCAGATGAAAGCACTGATATGATGGCATATCTATGCAATCTTCCAAAAGACGAACTTCTTCTTCAGAGTCTGAAATACTTGCAAGGGTTGCCCGAGAAGAATCAGGCTCCCCTGATTCAACTGGTCATCCGCACTTTGCAGGCTTCGCTGAGGGATGATCCCGAGCGAAGGCGTGGTATCGAGGTCATTCTGGCCGGGTTTAGACAGCACAAGGACTTGACTAGGGATGATTGGATGTAGGCACCAGATATTGTTTAGCTGAAGTGCATCATTACTGACAACAGCTGTAGGAGGCAAGGCACGAGCTCGTTCGCACTCAGTTCACTACCAGATCAGGCCCCTGGCTCGAGTTCAGGAAAGTCTTTGACGACCAGATCGGTAAGTTATGAATCTAAGATGTTTCATGAGTCTTTTTGAAGTATGCTGACCGACAAGGCTATTCCCCGAATGCCGCGTATCATTCAAGTCGACTTTGTGGACCAACTCCTCCGCATCTCAAGGGATGGTTCATCGCTAACCGAAAAGCGGACTGCTCTCTTCGAACTAGCTATGTGCTACATTCACGGAGTTGGTATGGAGAGACCGGACTTGAGCAAAGCACTTGACCTGCTTATGGAGTCTGCGCAGCTTGAGAGTGCAAAAGCTCTTGGGCTTATCTTTCGCCTTTCCGATGTCCTCGGAGTCGATCTCCCACCTCCCTTGTGGCAAATACCCCATCAGCTCGTTGGGGTCGAAAAGGAGCTATTAGGCATCAAAGGCGATGACAACTTTGTCAGGCGTCTTCGTTTACACGAGAGATGCAAACAGCGAGATACCTTGAATCGTTCTTTCGACATCCTACATGAGGGCAACCCCATAATCGAAGGCATATGCTTGGATCGTGTAGAAGAGAGTCTGAAACGTTTGACTTCAAGAGACATCAGATTCGAAGATTTAGAGTGTATCTCTCAGGTAGAGGACTATGAAAGTGTACCGACGCGAGAGAGTCTCCTCAGTGTTGCGGTGCGCCAGGGTATCAAGCCTCTAGTCAAATTTCTTTTACCTTCAGAGGCCTCTGGATCAATCAAATCCAGGATGATTTGGACCGACAGTCTGCTTACGATTGCCTGTCAGGGAGGTCATCTCAATATTCTCGAGCTTCTCCTCTCAAGGGATGTGCCAACGCGCCTCACCGAGAGCCATCCCGAAACACCCTTCCACTGGCTGAGTATGTTTGAGCCTGAAGAGGTCGAGTCTGCCATGTATCTGCTTTTGAGCAACAACAATCTCAAAGACGATCTCAAAGTCAGCGTGCTTAGCCCTGGAATTGAAGTAGGAAACTGCTCGTTTCTGGGCACCGCGCTCGAATTCGCTATTGCCGCGAACAATGGTCCACTAGTTGACCTGTTCATCAAGCGCACATCGAAAAGTTCCTCCAACTACCAGCTCCACACAATTGGATGGACTCAGAACACCTTTTCTTTGGCCTGCTCACTGCATCTTCATGGCTTGATTCCGAAATTACTTCGCCTAGAAGAGAACTACCGTACGACACAATGGACAACCTCATCGGCTCAGTCATCTAGTCTCTTCTGTCTCCTGTGCCCCCATGACGCTCTACTACCACTATTGGTCCATGGCCAGATGTCGCGAGTTGCACTCGACTCTACGATTGACCTACTGATTCAGAATGGGGCTTCTTGTGCTGAAGAGGATCAACGTGGGTCATCCATACTCATGAAAGCCTTGAGCGCTGCACCGTGCAGATTCACTACGGATCTGCTGCTGGCTCTGATCGACCGTGGGGCACGTTGTACACTTCGCGGAAAAGAAGCGTTGATGAATGCCGTCTTACGCATCTGCAAAAGGGAAGACCGCGCCGGACCGGCCATAGTGAAGCTTTTGCTAGAAAAAGGGGTGCTCTCGCCAACTATTGACAATTTGTCGGTCGCTTTGGAGCAAGGCAACACGGCTGTAGCATCCGTTTTTCTTGATTTCGAAAGTGAGGGGAAAAGAATCGACGCCAAAGATCCTTTCGTAGCTGGTGACGTATCGTTTTCCTTACTTTTCCTCGCGACACCATCCGGAAATGCATCTACTGTCGAACTTCTCCTTGATCACGGAGCCGACATCAATTCCAAGTGGGGGGAACGAACGCCCCTAGAAGCGGCAATCAGTTTAGAGAAGTGCGACGCTGAGACCATTGATCTCTTAATCGCGCGAGGCGCGGCTCTAGCATACGGCAGCTTCTCCCTGCTACACCGTGCAGCCTCATCGGCTTCCCGGGTCAATGGTCACCATGTTCTATTTCATCTCCTCAAAAACCCACAGATCAGAAATCTGATAAACACCACGACGAACTTCGATGATGAAAACTGCGGTATCACGCCTCTCAATATAGCAGTCTATTCCGGAAATCCTGGCGCGGTTCACGCCCTCCTCCAAGCCGGAGCTCTTGTCGAGACAGGAGACGCGCTAGAAACGATTTTACGACTCGCGGTTAACGTTGGCCGACGTCCCCAAACCAGTCCTTTGTGGAAAGAGAAAACCATCAATGAAGAGAGCCTCTACAAGTGGCGCTTAGACATGGAGAATATCATCATTACCCTGCTGGGTAAAGGAAATCCAGGTCACGGGAGGTGTAGTCTTCACATTGCTACTGAGTTGAACAACCGACCAAGGGTTATAGAGCTAGTCGAGCACCACGGCTATCGCATCTTTGTTGGAGATAAAGAAAAGCTCCTGCCTACAGCATACCTAGAAGACTTAGACAGTTTGAGTGGGGATGGAGACGCACCGGAGTACCTGGAGAACTTGCGACTACTCAAGGAGTACATTCAAACTAAGCTACTTGAAGAAATAGCTCGGGATTTAGAGAAACCAGATTTCATCAAGAAGATGCTGGAGGATCTCTCAGTCGAAGACAACGCAGACCTTAGCAATGAGGATGCGAGAGTCACTTTTGAAAAGGCTCTCTCAAAACTTGAGACCGAACGGAACGAAATCAGTCTATCATTGGGTGATGGATTCGAGACACCTTTGGAAAGGGAAACGGAATTAAGAAATTCTCTTGAGACGCAAAGACAAAGATTGGGAGCCACTCATTCCACAACTTTGAAGACCGCGACTACTCTCTGCGACTTGCTCACATTGCTTTACAGGTTTGATGAAGCTGCACTGCTCAATCAAGAAATCCTCAAAGGGAGAGAAGCCCAACTGCCTTCGGATAGCCCGGAGCTCTTCGAATCTTTGCTAGATAGGGTTTGTGTCCTTGCAGGTCAAGCCAAGACTCGGGAAGCCCACGAGGATGCTCAGAGCATTCATAAAAGGGCAGTCGACACGTTCGGGATCACACATCCCGTGACGCTCAAAGCAGAAGCCTTTCTGGCCTGTACATATTCCATTCTTGGGCAGTTCGACCTTGCGATATCCATGGCAGAAGGAATCTTGAAGGCCTACGACAACCACGACTTGGACGAAGACGAAAAGTTCGAGGGCTATAGACACTCCTTGCTCGAGCTGAGATGTAACCTTGCGGTTGACTACTGCAAAGCCCAAAGATTCAACGAGGCGGCAGTAATAGCGAGAGCCTTGCCATCCTCGCTTCTTTATGTAAAAAAAGGAGAGTTCTTCCGCACATTCGACGC